ACTGAGGTTCTCTGACCCCAAAGCACATTCCCCCCCCCCCGCTGGCCCACTGAGGTTCTCTGCCCCCATACAGAGGTTACCAACAGCCCCTCCGACTTACAGCTACAAAGTCCGTGGGTTCAATCCCCGCGGCTGGAGCCAGTCAGAGGCGCTGTCACCGCTGCACAAACTCTGCCCAGAGGTCCAGGTCGAGCCACACCTGGGAGATGCTGCTGTGCTGAGGGGAGCAGGTTCCAGCTGGGTGCAGCGTGGCTCTGGGGACCGCCTGAGCTCTGCCTTGCTCCGGTCGCTGCCTCTTTTCCCCGCTTCGGAAAGCCGAGGGAGTTGCCTCCCTTCCAGGAGCAGCGCTGTTGATGTCTGCACCGTGCTCAGAACGGGCCGCCGGGGCGTGACACCGATTTGCGCAGGCAGGTACGTTACACCTGAGCGTTCCCCGAGGTGAGGGAGGAGCGTGGGCTCTGCCCAAGGCTAAGGACCAGCCCACCGTCCAGGTTCCTGCGAGATGTTTGCACAGGACATATTTGCAGCGAGGGGTAACAGGTAGACTATTCCCTTCCGAAACTGCTGGGGATGAAGGCCGTTCCCTGAGGGTCACGGCGAACCCCAGCCAAGCGTGCGATCGATCAGCCCGCCCGGCCCTGTCTTTACCGTCTGGAGCCGGGGCAGGCCTGAGCGTACCCCAAGAATGGACTCCGGACGGGGGCTGCAGGGCGGTCGCGAATCGCCCTGATGCTGAAAGGGGGCTGGAAGTCAGGGCCTGTCGGGGGAGGAAAAGGGGCACCGACGCGTCCCGTTATGGAGATCTCTTGCCAGCAGGAATGTCTCATGGAAGCTAGCCAAGGGCTGGATCCCTGATCAGCCGGGACAGGGGCTAATAAGGCCAGGCCCGCGACTTCCAATTCTGGTTTCCTTTCACCCAGAAGCTTGTTGTGAAAGCCATTCCCTTGCTGTTAGCAGATGTTTTACCCTGAGCCTTTTTCAGTCAACTTCGGCTTGGTTTGTGCTTTGCGCGAAGGGGCGGCGGGCTGAACCGAGGGGGAGCCGGGGCGCACGGCTGCGGATCGGGGGACACTGCACGTGTCCCGAAGACGCGGGACTGGCCGCTCCAGCGGGAGCAAGGTGGCCTGTGTGAATTGCCAGGCTGCAGGGGGAAAAGGGGCGGGGGGGGGGGGGCTTGCTGCAGCCCAGTGTGGAGGTTTGGGAGAACTTCCCCCTGGGAATGGGGGGCAGGAGGGTGCTGACCAGGCTGGAAGCGGAGGGAGAGGGGGTGGCAGTTTTCCCAGGGTATCTGGGTTAACCATGACCAGTGTCACGTGGGATGAGCTGCACCCACCCAGTCTGGCTTTGGAGGGGGGGGTTGTGAAATTCACCAGCAGCACGTGGCTGCCCCCGAGGCAGAGCACAGCCGGGTGAGCGTGCGCGGGGAATCTGGGTCACGGCTTGTGAGGGTGTCTCGACAGGCAAGCGGGAGACCCTCTCAGCAGGAGGCGGGTGGATCCCTGCCCCCCCACTCCCGCCCGCCCCGGAGTTTCTGGAGCTGATGACCTATGTGGGGGCCAGATCTGAAGCTACCTCTGTGGCAACTGCCCAAAAGATTCCCACCACACCAGCCAGTGCGTCTCTGTACCTTGGGGGGCTTGACAGTGCCTTCACTGCCAGCCCCCCTCCAGTGGCTGGGGTTAAAACAGCCAGGCTGTGCCAGACCAGGCCAGGGGCCCACCTACCATACCAAAGGGCAGGGCCTGTGCCTTCCTCTTGGTCTGCTCAGTGCCCGGCACAACGAAGCCTGGATGCCCACTGGGCACTATTGCAATACAAAGGCACCTAATGCAGGAGGGTATCAGTTTGAGATCAGGACCACCTGGCCCTTCCCGCATTGCTGGATGAGTGACGGGCCCAGGGGCTGGGGGGGCTGGGTCCTGCCCCAGGAGGTGGGCACAACCCCTGCAAGGAGCCGTGCTCCCTTCTCGCCGGCCTCCGAGAGCCGCTGCTGGGCTTTAAAAGACAGCGAGAATCCGAGGTGCCCAGAGGCCAGGGGGATGGGCACGGCGTGCACACAGAGAGGCACAACGTTCCTTCCGCTCTCTGCACCAGGCTCCCAGGTGACCAGACCCTCATGCTCCGGCGGCCTGGCCCTGCTTGGCTCCCTGTGTAACTTACAGCAGCCTCGGGGCAGCTGTAACCTGCACCCGGGGGAAGAGGAGAATTCCCATAGTGCAGTGCAGTCTGGCCACACCCCTCATGGGCGGGGCCTTGAGGGCAGGATTCTTAGGTGGGTCCATTTCAACGTATTCCTGGTGCCATTCCTTGTCCTGCCGGCTTTCGGGGCTTCGCCACATCCCATCGCCAGCCACACCGTGCCGGTGAAATGACCTTCCCTCTTCCACTTGCCTCCCACGTACCGAAACGCAGCCAGCTCTGGGGAGGAGCGGCCGAGTGGCACACAGCACCAATGATGTGGGGGAAGGGGGGGGCAAACCCCCAGCAGACCAGACCACACTCAGGTGCAAAAGACTGATGCCGAATAACCGTGGCCACTTTATGCAAATCCATCATTCCCGACCCCTCCAGCTGGGCCAGGGCCCAGAGCCGAAACCTGACGTTTGCAATTCAAATCTATTCAGGGAAGCAGCATAGAGACCCATAGCTCCGCTCCCCACGTGGATGAGGCATGGAGAGGGGAGCTGATGAAGGAGCAGTGCATTGTGGGATGGCAGTGGGAGGACTTAGCCTGATTTTACCCCACTGGTGTGTGTGTGTGTGTGGGGGGGAGGGGTAGCTTGCCCCACTGCTGCCCAGGAGATAACGCCCAGGTCTGTGCTCCTGGCACCCGGTGTGATGGCTGCACCCCCTTCCCCCCGCGGCAAGCCTCACCTCGGGGGTGACGCGGGGCTCCCACGGCTCAGCCCACAGCTCCCGATCTCTGGCGCTTCCTGGGCTCTTCTAGGGCCAGGCACGGAGACTCCCCCGTCTCATCTGGAGACCCTCACGGCTCCCATGGGCAGGGTGGCACCAGCCTGGGGTGACGGAGACACAGGGAGGCACTGAAGAATGGACAGAACCAGGGGATCCCACCCAGCTCTGCCCCACACCCCCTTCTCCAGGCACCAGGAGGGCAGCAGGTATAGCTGTGGGGCAGAGGCGGGGGGCCGGGAAAGCCCAGCCTGGGCTACCCTGCCCTAGGGATCTAGTGCCCGTCCTCGGGGTGGGACCAAGCTGGTGCCAGTCCTGGCAGGAGCGGGGAGCCTGGGGAGCCCAGGGTACTGTGAACCCTTCCCTTCCAACAGGGGCCCTGGCAGACCTGGCCCTGCGCAGCAGGGACGAGCCAGGGACTGGACCCCCAACTTGGAGGCGCTTCTTGACTGGGGCTTTTTTCAGCATAAGTCTCTCCTAGGCCCCCTCTCCATGCCCATCTCCTCTGCCAACCTGAGCCCTCCCCATGCCAATTTCCCCTGTCTTCCGGAGGCCCCCCCAATGCCCGTCTCCCCTGCCTGCCAGAAATCCCCACTGTCCATCACCCCTGTCTTCCGGAGGCCCCCCCCCATTACCCCTGCTGGCCAGAGTCCCCCCATCCCCATCACCCCTGCCTGCCAGAGCCCCACCCACCCGGTGCCAATCTCCCCTGCTGTCTGTTTTCCCTGCCTATAAAATGCCTCTCCACTCTCCACTCGCAGGCCCCGTGGCCAGCCAGAGAAAAATACTTAAGAGTTTCATTGTTCTCTGTTGACACTATTGGAATTGGCGTGGGGCCCGCTGTCCCAATCGCCCAGCCAAGAGGGGCCCTTAGCCAGCCTGAATGGCCCTCAGCGGTGCCCAGTGACACCCGGGCCTGGCAGGTGGAGTACTGCTACGTGACTCCCTCAGCTGGGGCGGGCATAGGGGCACCTCGGGGAGGCCCGAGGGTGATGTTGGGCCCCTGCCCCTCTCCTATCGACATCCCCCCTCCCTCCTGCCCGAGCAGCCGGTTCACTGGGGAGCCGGCAGCACTTTGCAGGGAAGAGGGGCCGCGGGGGCTGCTTCCCCCTCAGAGTTAGCAGCACCGGGAGGGCGAGGGGGACAGAGCTGGCAGAGGGGAGACAGTGACAGGCCCTGGGGGTGCGGGGAGACGGTGGGCAAGGGAGTGAAACAAGCCAATCTGAATGCCCCCACCCCCACTCCCAGGCAAGGTGTCCCACCCCAGGGGAGCCCACTCTGCGCGGGGTGAGCCCGGGCCAATCCGAGGGGGCAGCACTGGATGAATGATGCCCAGACGAGAGGCTGGGGGTAAATACTGAGGGATCTGTGTGGAGACGGCGGTCTGGAGGGCTGGGTCATAGGTAGATAGGCCCATAGGTGCTGACTCCGTGGGTTCTCCGGGGCTGGAGCACCCATGGGAAAAAAATAGTGGGTGCTCAGCACCCACCGGCAGCCCCACGGATCAGCCCCTCCCCTTTACCCCCAGTGCCTCCCACCCGCCCAGGTGCCCGACCGGTCAGCCCCTCCCTCTCCCTCCCATCCAGTGCCTCCTGCCTGCCATGATCAGCTGTTTAGCTGCATGCAGGAGGCACTGGGGGGAAGGGGGAGAAGCGGGGGCAGGAAGAGGTGGGGGGGGATGAGGTGGGACAGGGGCAGGGACAGGGGCAGGGCTGGGGTAGCGGCTTGAGGGG